GCTTTTCCACATAATAACCAACAGTCCATTTGGCCCTAGAAATACCTTAGTAGAGTTTTAAAATAGTCCTGCATTGAATCAATCTATTGGTTTTTAGATACATTTTAGATTAGAAGTCAACAGAACAGCAGTTCCTGGGGGTGCACATCCCTGACAACCTAAGTAAACCTACTTGGACTGTAAACAGCACCTCATTTGTCAAAAGGGCACAGAAACACTTGTACTTCCTGCGGAGGATGAGGAGAGCCCACCTGCCCCCACCCATCCTCACCAACTTCTACAGAAGCACCATAGAGAGCGTTCTGACCAGCTGTCTTACTGTGTGCTGTGGAGGCTGCAGCGCCTCAGAGAAGATCATTGGGGCCCCTCCTCCCTCTTCTTCCCTCCATAAAAGACATTTCATCCCAGCGCTGCATGTCCCCAGCCCGTAACATTATCAGTGACCCCTCATACCCCCACTATGGACTGTTCTGCAGCATTCGATGCTGTTCTTCGCAGCATTCGATGCAGGTCCAGCAGATTCTGCAACAGTTTCTTTCCCACCGCCATCAGACATCTGAAATGTTAAAAAAACTCAAAATCATGTCACAGATTGTGCAACACACTGATAACACCTAACCAAAAATAATGCATATTAGCACCACATATACTGTATATTAATGCTTTGAACTTCCATATCTATGCATTTTTTGCAACTTTTTTTTACCCCTCCCATATTGTTTACATTTGATCACTGTTGCACTTTATGGAATAGAAATGTTCATCTACTATCTGAAAAGCTGTACAAAGTGAAAGTTTGTTTTGTATACACTCTGTGTAAAAGTTGTTTAAAGCTACAGTGTGTAATAATTACAGGGATATACAGTCAGAAATGTAATATATTATACATAACTTTGTTATTTATCATCATCTACGAGCTCAGCCTCTTAACCTTAATATTTGCGTTGCCTTAGAATTCGTTATTTATAATTACATAGGAGCGGGTCTCGCAGCCATGGAGGCAGACATCTTTGCGCTACGGCAGCGCAGAGCCAACAAACTAGTGATTGCGAGATCGCCCATTACGCTCGAAAGTAAATACGGCAAGTTTAGAGAGATGAACTGAGACGGTACTGAACGCACAGACTAATAAAATACTATCTGTAAAATTATCTATGTAAACAAACCTCATCACTTGAGAAGGTAGGTGATGCGGACGTCGTGGAAGACATTTTGTCCCGTAACGCTCGCCGTACTGTTGGGGGGGAGATGTTCATGTTGCTGCGGTCTGCAGTCTGGACGTTAGATGTCGCTGAAAATTACACACTGTAGCTTTAAGTGAACCCATTCAAAAACCTGGCAAATAAATTGATTTATTGTTTTATTTGTTGCTTGAAACCTTATCCTTACACAAAGAGCAGCAAGAAACAACAAAACAAAACAAAAGAGTGAGGGTGGTTATCTGGGTAATAAATAATCAGGGGAACTTCCAGGTCTATACAGGGCGGTTTGATAAAATCAGTTACATGCCTATTACACACTCACACACACGCAATCTCTGCACAAATCATGTGTGACATATCAGCCAATCAACATGGCCATGAAGATGTACAGAGCACTGCGATTATATGTTAATTTGACCCCTTGATTATAATAACATAATAACACACATAATGAATACATATAATAACATACAGAAAAGAATCCGAAGAGTAATATTGTAGACCGGGATTGGTCGTCTGATAGGATGGATTCAAAACAACCATATATGTATGCCAAACCCTATTTTCTTTTCATAATAGCCCTCTTTGATGTGATAAATAATAGGAAGTGATTGCTCCAAACACTCTTTTCTTATAATTATATAAAGTTTTTACTCAAAATATCTGGCATATAACAGGTAAAGGAAGATGGAGGAATGTATTTTATTTCTGCCAAATAAGACTTTCACAAGAAATAGAGACAGAATTTAGATTTTCAGGTGTTTCTTTTGTCATTATACTGAGTTTTCACCATCTGTTTAGCACAGGTTATCTGCACAAGAAGTTATACTAGTTTATGTGGTTGATGTGATATCTGCTTTTTGGCTTTTTTTGTTTCAATTTTAAGTTTTATTTTGAGAGCAGCTGTCAGCAGGTGAACAGCTGAGATTTTGAAGCCCAGATTTATCACACATTGTAGTATGCTTCCTAATAGCCACTGAGCAGAGTGCTTCTCCCTTTTTAGATGTCTCCTATTTAGCAAATACACTTTTTAGAGTGTGGTAAAGTTTGTCTTTACCACACTCGTTGTCTTGTTTCCTGTTATTTAAAGCTGCTTCCCAATGAAAGAGAAATACGTTTATCTGTATAGAGAATTTTTAATAACAAGACTATGGTACATGAACAGAAAATAAGGAGGAAGTGTGACTACAAACTCAACTTAGTGAACAATTAGTTTTAGTTTCAATTGAACATTTGAAGGTCACTCTAAACAACAGTTTAAAGCAACTTGTGGTTACTTTAAATGTAGTCTTTAGGGAGTGTATTGCAGATAAGTGGAGCGTAAGAGCTAAATATTTGGTTCCTGTTGTTGGTATGCAGTGTGGAATTAACCCAGAGACATGAGGCCCCTGGGTGGTTAAACTGTTCACAGACTACAAGTCGCACTTTAGTAGTTGATGCTGTGTGCTACAGTAATTCCTAAGTCCTTTTTACACAGCTGGAGGCAAGTTTGGGAAATTAATTTATGTTTTTTTCTATTTATTTGTCCAGCATTGAGGTTCAAAGTCAGCTGGTGAATATGTAATGTAGAGCTGTGTGTCATCTGCATAGTTATGGTAAATTATGTTTTTTTTTAATTCTCGGTGGATATAAAAAAGAGTCCTTGTCATTCTATTTGGAACTAATCCAGTCAAGTGCAGCACCAGTTTAAATCAGTCAAGTGCGGCACCAATTTAAACAGGTCAAGTGCAGCACCAGTTTAAACCAGTGAAACGTGGTACCAGTTTAAACAAGTCAAGTGTGGTACCAGTTTAAACAGGTCAAGTGCAGCACCAGTTTAAACCAGTGAAATGTGGTACCAGTTTAAACAAGTCAAGTGCGGTACCAGTTTAAACAAGTCAAGTGCGGTACCAGTTTAAACCAGTCAAGTGTGGAACCAGTTTAAACCAGTCAAGTGTGGAACCAGTTTTGACCAGTCAAGTGCAGTATCAGGTTAAAACAATCAAGTGCGGTACCAGTTTAAACTAGTCAAGTGCGGTACCAGTTTAAAAAAGTCAAGTGCGGAACCAGTTTAAACCATTCAAGTGTGGAACCAGTTTAGACCAGTCCAGTGCAGTCCCAGAAAGGCTACCCTAGTTTTCGAGTTGATTCAACTAAATGGAGTGACTGGCAGGTGGAAACCTGCACTAAGGTCCAATAGTCTCGATTTGTACAGATGTCATTGACGACCTTGACAAGGGTAGTTTACCGTGCTGAACACTGAAACCAGAGGTTGAAGCAGCTGGTCGTTAGGAAGGTGTCTTTAGCAGCTTGCCCAAGTTTCTTTTTCTCCAGCAGTAGTTTGATAATTGCTCTATTTTGAAAGGGCCTGGAGCAAAACATCAAAAAGAACAAGTTTATATTTTGAGTCAAGCAGAAGTTATTACATCAAGACAACTGGACAAAGAGTTCAAAACTTTTCAACAAATTTCATAAGAACATAATCTTTCTGGAACATGCCTCATGGAGCTTATATACGTTTAACAGTTTGACTTTCCATGTTTTTTTTGCAACTAAACATACTTATAAACAGCAACAATTTCTGCCCCTGTTCCAAAAAAATCCAAACCTTCTGTACTTTTAAGTAACACATATTTGACCGTGTTACCTCCTTGTTGTAGTTTCTGGCTCTACTTATTTTTTGTTCTCCATTTCACAATTTTTCTACTTCTCTTTCAACTCCATTCAAATGCCTACTCTGCAGGGACAGAGGTTTGCTTGTTTTCTGAAATTGGCTAGAGAAATAGTAAATTTCTCTTTGACTGGGAGATTTCATGCCTTCAGAAAAGCTCTTACAGAACCCTAAATAAGTCCTCAGAGGTTTAGTCTATGACATAATTCATTAAATAATGATTCATGGACTCCAAACAAGAAGAAAGTTCAAACCAGACCATGTTATAAAACAAGCTGCAAGAACTCTGAGTGCATCACAACAAGAACTGAATGATGTAAATTTATTCTTGCAGCTTCAAGAGAGAAAACAAGTTTCAAAGATTAAAGAGATTGTGATCAAAACTAATTTTAATGGTTGTCAAACATTAAATTTTATCTGCCTGCAACTTTTTAAGTCTTAAAACCAGTAAACATCTGGTTTGACTAATTGCAACGTGGTATTATTAGTTACCGCAGAGCTGTCTTTTTCTTCTTCTTTTCAATTGCCAACCTCATGTTGCAGCGCCACCTTATGGTGAGAGCAACATATGACTGGCTGTTGATGCCTGCTTGTTGGTCAGAGATCAGAGAAAATTTGACTGAACCTTTACAATTTGTTTAACACAATGAATCTTCAACTTCAAATCAATGCCCGTCTAACTTTTTGATCCTAGGGAGGAAAAAATGTGTTTCTTTTAAAATGATAATAATGACAGTTGCAAGAGATTTTTGAATGTAGTTTTTTGGTTAAATGGTCTCTTCCTTGTTTCTGGAAAAAAAAAAAAAAAAAAACAAGATAAAAAAATTAAACAGCTGCACATTGTAATTTAACCACACTGGGCAGGCTGAAGAAAAGGAGGTTATTATTTTTGATTGCTATCTTCTCAGAATGGCAAACATTTTCCACACTCTGCTTACCCCTTAAAGCTTCACTTTTCTTCTGGGCTTTAATAAAACATAGTTTTTTTTTCTCTTAAAAATAGTTTTACCAGGAGACTAAGTAAATTTACACCAGCTCCAGGTTTGAAGCATTTCTTTATTGTGTCTGATCTGAATGTCGTCTTAATTGTGTTGAAGAGAGATGATTTCTTAACTGCTTCTTCTTCTTGTGTTTCCCCAAATCAACAGCCGCTGCAGATAGACGATAACTTCTGCGGCCAGGATTTCAACCAGCCTCTGGGAGGAACAAAAGCTATTGAGGGCATCCCGCTTTACGTGGACAAGGATGACGGCATGACCTCTGTGGCACCTTATGACTACAGAGGCAACACCGTGGTGTTTACAGGCACCCGCAGCGGACGCATAAGGAAGGTAGGCAACCTGGAGTTTAGTCATCACAGGCTTCCTGGGAAACCCAAATGGTTTGGGAATATATTCTCCTACATGTTGGAATGTATTCAGCAAATTCCAAGAGCAGCGTTGGAGATTTTGGTCGAGAAAGGGCGTCATGCGGTTAATGGGATTTTATGTTTTTTCCCATTTGCAAATGGGTTCTTATCCCATTTGTCATTGAGAGCTTCATAAGAGCATATAGACTTGCCAAAAACACGCCAGGCAGCAGCTCTTTAGATGCAAGTTTTCTCCCGCAGAGCAAGGTTGAGTCTGTGCGTGTTTGTGTCTCTTATGGGGAGATTTGTGGAGTGGAGCTCACGCTGCTAGACATACTGGAGCTGTGTGGGTTTTATCTCTCTGAAGCACCGTAGTCACAGGGTTTTCAAAAGCCAGTGAGTGTTGATTTTTTTTTAGTGGCTGTAAGGTGGGTGCAGAGATGCCTATGTGCCTCCTGAGCACCACAGGTGAGAACACCTCATGCTTTTTCATGCCTATTTGTTTGCCCGCTGAAATGAGCTGTCCTCAATCACAGGCAGGCAGTCATTTTTTTCTCATGTTCCGCATACACACAGCGTATGCAGTCTTTGTGGGTTTTACAATATGTGTGGGCCTCCTCGAGTGCTTGTGTTGAGTAGACTGCACTGCATGTGTGCCAATCAGCTGCTCCTCCATCTGAAATCTGACTGAGGCATTGTGTTTTTCTTTTCTTTTTTAATCCTTTGTCCCCAGCAGGACACCTGCATATATAAGTGTCTCGGTGTCAGTGATACGATTTCAAGGAGGAAAACTGTCATCAGAGGGTGGAAGGAACTAAAAAAAAGACACGTACTCAAGCTTTTTATTGCTGTCCTGTTTAGGCACACATCCATGCAGACACATTTGTTGTAAGTCTTTGTAAAGCTTTGTAAAACACACTAAAATGAATTATTCCATTGCTGCAGAGGTACAATTTTGAAAATCTTAGAAAAAATCCAGCTTTTAGATATAAAGTTATCTATGCTTTGTGGGGGGAAATTCACCATTCAGAAATAATCATGTTAAATAAAGTGCTGGAAATTTTAGGAAGCCCAAAATATTTTGAAATGAATCAGAGATTGGCGCAGCATCGTGGGGATCATTTTCTGTCCCGCCGTCACAAATGTAAAAAGGTAATGTTTGTTCAACTTTACAGGCACTGGACCTGCAGGCATTTGACCAGTGAGCCAAATTTTGGACTTTTTCATAGCAAACACTAAGTCTGACTCAAAAAAAAAAAAAAAAAAGGCATGTAAAAAGGCCCTAATGCCCACAGTTAATACTGTGGAGGATCTGTTATACTGTGTTTGTCCTGTAAAGACATGGGAACCTTGTATGGACTCTAGCAGTAGACAGAAAATGGGTCATTGTTGGTTCTTTCAGGATAATGACCAGAGGGTGGCCAGGGCCACCCTGTGCAATGCCCTGGCATTTCATCCCACTATGCACAGCCCACTACTTAACATAAAAAAAACAAAAAAAACATCACACAATAAACCAAGATATGAGTAGGTGTTTACTTAAGTCTTTGTGATTTCTACAGGCAGGTTTACCACAATAATAGATTAAAACCCTGAAATTATGGCTTTAGTTTCAGTGTGCCACCCCAAGACTTTTGGTGGCCCCATCTGGCCACCCCTATGAAACATTTCTGGAATCACCACTGTCAATACGGAGAAGAAAAGAAGCCTGAGCGATAATTGTTCGCTGCTGCAATAGTAGATCAAATTCTGCTGCGGCTTATTGAAGACATTTCAGGTTTTTTGGTTTCTATTGTCAACTCTTGTGTCATAGGATAAGATAATACGGGTATTCATCCAGTTGCAGCAGCATGCATGCCGTCTTAGCACCACTTCCTCTCTCTGGAGTTTTGCTAAGTCGACTGAAACCTGGCCCGACAGTCCTTGCGATTGACCCCTGGACTATGTCTTTGGCTAGTATGCTTGCAGACAGATGATTTGTGTGTCTGTTAAGAGTGTGGGGGTCAGCAGATCCTGCATGAAATCCTGCCGATTGGAATCCCATTTCCTCTGGGCCGGCATATCTTCCTGCACTCTGGGATGGAAGGGAGGAAGGTGAAAGCAGAGGTGGAGGCTGCTAGTGTCCTCACACAAATCAATGTAGATGCTGCAGTGAAATGTAGTCGTCTATACGAGCAGCGGAACGGCGAGAATAGATGACAGTTACTATAAATCATAGCCACTCTGGCTACAAGCAGTTTGTTAAGCTCTTCCATTTCTTCCTGCCCACTAACACGGGAGGTGATTAGTTTAGCTCTAAATGATGTTCTCTGATATTGATTGGACAAGTATTAAATGCCCAAACTTGTTTTGGACAAAATAAAGTTGGGGGGGGGACTAAAAATGGAAAGGAACTAGATTTAAAAGGAACAAAGTGATGTTGAGGAACATGGTTACAGGCTGTGGAGTTTCATTGCTACTCATTAGAAGTTAAACTGTGCTCCTGGCCTAATGAAATGTAAAGCTGCATTGTATTGATGTCCTCACACTCCCCCTCACCACACAAACCCACACACACTCAGTAGGATTTCTGCAATGTGACTGTTGCAAACTGTGTGTTTGCTTGCATGAACACGTCTCGCCTGCTAGACTTTCTGTATTGATTGATCTATGAATATATAATCACTAATGTCCAACTTAAATCCACCAAGTCTATTGGAAAAGTGTTGGTTTCTTCCTCCCTGTGTGTGTTTGTGTGTGTAAGAGCCCGCTGTAAGTTATTGTAAATCTGCACAGCTTTACATCAGGATGACTAGTCCCAATGTCATGACTGACTAAGCACATGACATATACAGTAGGAAGAAAATATAGTGTAACATCTCCATTACTGCTTGGTTAATAGCTTTTTTTCTTCAAGGGTTTGGACTGAGCTAATGACATGTTAACAGCAACTCTTACAGGCTGAAGTTTTCCCTTTATATTATAGGACCTAATGGTCAAATAAACCATCAGTTTGTGATTTAATAGTTTACTCGAGGCTTTTATTAACCAATATATGGGAAGGTCTTCACAGATTTTATAGGGTAATATACTGTGTAGAGGAAAAATATAGTTGTTTTTTACTGTCTTATAAACATCCTCTAAACTGGGATTATTTAGTTTAAGCCTTAATGATACGCAAAATGGATTTGGATTAGAGATCTGCTGGTACATGTTTTTAGAGCCAATACTGATTATTTTGACATCACCCTAACTGATTCTCTATGTGTGGTGCCGATATTCTAGGGATCTTGGAAACGGCATTTCTTTTTTCTTCCTCTATTTACATGATTAAGATGACACAAAAAAAGCAAAAATTAATAAATCAAACTAAACACTAACAAGGGAACAGCAATTACTCATGGCTGCTATATACACTAATGCATTGCTTCCCAAAATGTCCCCCCGTTTGTTTACAAGAAAGTCTGTGTTCCCGCTCCAACCTTTTCAACATTTGAACAGGTTCAGGAGTACGTTTTTTTTTTGTCAGTTAAAATTCAGCCTAATGATGATTGTTAGCGGTTCTATCGATGTTTGAAAAACCAGTGTCAATTTAATTTCAGGGGAAAAGAGGCTTTATACAATAAACTTCTACCCTGCCCTCATGCAGTTACACTATGCCACCCCTAGGGGGGCGGACCCATTCATTATAACAATATGAGAAAATGCTAATACCTAGTGAAAATATCAGTCACTATATTATTATTTTTCTTATTTTGATATCAGTTAAAACCAGAGCCAACCTGTCCCTTTTCTAAAAGGTAACAGTTTAACAGCTTTTACAGTTTAATAAACATTTTACCACTCTTAATGAATGGTAAGGTGAGGACATTTCATTGCATTTTGTGGATACTGAAATTGAATAATATGAAAATCACATAAACAGCAAGTATTTTTTACCCAAAGCTGCAATGCGTATCATATGAGAAACAGGGTGTATACCATATAATTTACTTTGAGCCCTTTGGTATCACATACAACAATATAGAGTGGGTTATTGTGTGGCATTTCTGATTATAGCACCCTTTCCTTTATTTCCATATAATTTCAGCTGGAACTATGGAGAGTCCACTGTTATTATGTCTTTGTACTTCAAAGTCATATATTGAAATTTTCTTCATGAGGCCTCAGTAGTGTTCTTTGTAAGCAGAAGAGGTGAGGATTGGAGAACCAGACTTTTGAATGTTATAAAATTCACCATTGGCTGCCTTCTCCCCGGATTGCCAGAAACGTCCCAAAAAAATCCCCCGTAAAACCTGGAAATCCTTTTGTTCCCCTTATTTCATCTCCTCTTTTGTCTACCTGGGAGAACAAGGTGCCCCAGCCGCGTCAGGCAGGATGAAAAGAAACACTCAACGGCCTGAAGTGTTTCCAGATTTTACAGTAGAAAAAAAAGGATAAGCAGGGCAGATGGACAGAAAGAGGAAAAAAGGGGCGAGATTTACTGTCGGCAGTATACAGGTGTGTTTGTGTGTATGTGGTGGGTGAAACAGGGGTATAGTTTCATGTCATTTCATCATTTCCCTGCTAGCAGCAAATCCAATTACTTTTTCTTCTCCTTTCTATCTTGGAAGATAGGCTGAGTGACAGATCTGATTAGAGTACAGCGCTGCTGAGGTAACCGTGCCAACTAGTTGATTGACACAACACTGGCACTTAACTGGCTTCAGACAAAGAGACAAGTGAGACTGGTTAGACTGGAGGCCATCTCTGAGCTGCTGAGTGGGACCAGAGGTTGATCTGCCCCTCCTAAAGATGATCTAATTCACTCTTTGGCAAGATGCTCAACATGTACTCTTTCCCCTTTAGTATGATAGCAGTGAAGATCGTTTTTTTTGTAACATGTCTTCCCTGTTTGCTCTATTATTTCCAAATAATAACGACCAAATCTCTAGATAGTACTGTTGTAACTGTTGCAAAAATAAAGGTAAGAAAAATATTGAGTCACAATCAGAGCATGTTAAC